AGAGAGAGAGAGAGAGAGAGAGAGAGAGAGAGAGAGAGAGAGAGAGAGAGAGAGAGAGAGAGAGAGAGAGAGAGAGAGAGAGAGAGAGGGTGTGAAGAGAATCCACTCTTACCTGGTAGCGTCGACTACCTCATCGGAATCTCCACGACCGAGTCGTTTATTGCGGCGACCATCGGTTCATCGCATTCCCCATCATCCGAATTTAATTAATATCTCCTCTCTCTCTCTCTCTCTCTCTCTCTCTCTCTCTCTCTCTCTCTCTCTCTCTCTCTCTCTCTGTGTCTCCGTCTCTTCTCTGTCTGTGATTCTAGTGGCAGGCCTCGAGCAGACGAGGATCAAGCAGGTGGGAAAGCGGAAGACAGGGCACGCAGGGGAAAAGAAACGAGATTCAGTCGAAGCAGCGGATACGCGAGCGCAGCGACGGGGAAACGGGACTGAGTCGGGATCGGGTTCGAAGTATTTGCGAGAGAGGGGAGGAGGAGGGGATATGATCGAGCGACCAGTAACTGCGCGCCGAGTAGAGACTAGACTGAGCCGGGTGGAGCAATTAGCAAGAGCGTTTTGTGCCGAAGGGGGGCCGAGGCTTATCAGATGCTAATGAGGAGTATGATGACGTGGAAGGTTGGATAAGAAGGAAGAGGGGGGGAAGGTCTATTTTATGCCCACGCAGGAGGAGGTCCAGGTAGTCCCCACATCGCGACGCGCAAGAACGACAGGGTGGTCGGAACGACGGCTCCCATGCCGCAGCCGGAGAGCAGCCGGGTGTCCGCAGCCGATCCGCTGGCATCGGCGCGCTGTGCAGATTCCTCGCCCTCTCCTCCGCCTTCCTGTTGGTCACCCTCTCCTTCCGCAGCAGCAGCAGCAGCCGGGGTCGCATCTTCAGATCCCGATGTAGGAGGGCGACCTCGAGGAGGAGGAGAAGTAATAGGAGGCGGAGGAGAAGATGGATCTTCGCGAAATTGCGGTGTTGATGGGGAGGAGTTCGTCCCCGCCGCCTCCTCCGCCGCCGCCGCCGCTGTCTCCGCCGGCGATGCTTCCTCGCCTTTCCGCTGCGCGTCCTCCCCTGGCTGCGGCGGAGACAGAAGCCAGTCTCTCGTCCCGATCCCTCCTCAGCATCGTTGTCTTCTGCAGACCTCCGCTCCCGACGAAGCACCTGGTCCCGTCCTCGGTGAGGAGATGGCTTCGCTGGCTGACGTGTCAGATTCAGGTCATCCGGCTCTTCCCACCTCCTCCACGCAGACGAGCGCCGCCGGGAACGACGACAGCGCGTCGCTAGATACTGATGTGGTGGCGCACAGCGAATGGCCCACTTGGTGGGAGTTCTACCCGGAGGCACATGCGCTGGAACCCGTTTGGGCGGAGCTCCTGAACGTGTCGCAAATGGAAGCAGACGACGGGGAGGAGGAAGAACAAAGAGGAGTAGAAGGAGGAGGAGGAGCCACTGTAAATAATGTCTCTCAGCATCATTCGTCGAATACCTCTGTATGTTCTCCTTGCCCTCTCTTGCCCTTTGCTAGTAGTGCTTAGACCCCATGCATGAGGATGATGCTATAAAAAGAATAGCACTTCTGCTTTCTTCGACTGATTCTCGACGCTATTGTGGTCAGATGCATTGCAGATAATTAAAAATTCTATGTTATTATGGCGTTTGATATTAGGAATAGTAAATTAATCCCCCCATCTTCCCTTCCCCCGCACACCAGCGCTTCTCCCCCCACTTCCCCAACTCCCCCCACACCCTGTCCATACTCTTATTCTCTCGATTCTTCCTTTTCATCTGTGTTTTAATTGTTCTTTTTTCCCTTTTCTACTACCTAATCGGTCTTGCCACGTGTCCTTCCCCCCCCCCTCTTTAATATGCCTGAGGTAGCTGCCGCCGGTGTTGAAAAGGGGTTGTGGACACCCCCCCCCCTTGGTTCTCTCTCCTCCAACCCTTCACCCCTCCTCCTCCTCCTCCTCTCCCTTGATCCGGGCGGGTCCTAAAATTGTTTGTAGAGTTATGAGCCCCTTGCAAAGCCTCGCCTTGGGGTCGACCACGACGCCGGCGAACATACCAAGGAATTATGAACCCTCCCTCCCTCCCTCCCTCCCTCCGCCCGCCCCCTCGGCGTGCTCTTCGCTTTTCACTGTCGGCCCTTGGAGAGATTAACGGGTAAAAAAAAAAAAAAAACCCAACCCTCCAGCCTGTTAACGACGCCCGCGACAGTGCAGGACCNCGCGACAGTGCAGGACCATTGATGATGAGGAGTCCCTGCGCTCAATGCATTCGCTCCTCGGTTTCGTCGACTCCCCCCCCCCCCCTTCCTCCTCCCTCCTCCCTCCTCCCTCCTCCTTCCCCCCTTGAAAGCTAAATTAACAGTGTCAAAATACGAAGTAACAAATCATTTGCCCTCCCTCCCTTCCCCAACCCCTTGAAAAATGATCAAATTACAAAATACATTATTATACTTTAAAAATGATCAAATTACAAAATACATGATTATACTTAATAATATTCAAATAGATTTTTGTGCGTCTATGAGTTTTCGGCTTTCCAACGGCGTTAGCTTTCCCGAATTTGCGCGTTACGCCCTCTCCTCTCTGGCGCATATGCGCGGACATACCCTCCCCCTCCCCCTCCCCCTCCCCCTCCCCTTCCTACCGTCTTCACCAGAATAGCACGGGCAGTGATTATCGCTGAACGTTGCCCCAATTACAGCTGTAATGACCGTACGTTCTGATCGGGGGAAGACGGTAGTGCATGTCCGCACGTACCCTCCCCTTCCTTCCCTCGATTGCTCTATGTGCCCTCGCCATCGATCATCAAAAGGAGTAATTAATTATTTTTAGTCAAATGTTCGATGTTATATGACATTCATGTCTTTTCATAATAATTACTCATGTTGAAAATAAACACTTTTTTTAAAATTTTTAATTCAAAACTCTTTAATCTGGATGCGTTAAAGGACAGCGAGGAGGGACAATCTCCGGTCGCATTCCAGGCGCATTCCAGTCGCAGTCCTTCCTCTCCTCCCTCTCTCCCTCTCTTCCTGTCTCCCTCCGTCGGTTCCTTCGGTTCCTCGCGTCGCACTCCAGTCGCAGTCCCTCTCCTCCCTCTCTCCCTCTCTCCCTGTCTCCCTCCGTCGGTTCCTTCGATTCCTCGCGTCGTCCCTCTGGCGTACGGAACGAGAGAGGGCGAGAGGGAGGAAGGTGCTATGTACGGAAGGACTGCGACTGGAGAAAGGTGCTATGTACGGAAGCTGTTGATGGAATGGAGCTGCTATGAACGAGTGCAGAGAAGAAAGGTTAAAACGTTCACAAGACGAGAAAGTTATGTTGATCAAATTATAAATGGGCTATTTTATCTGGACATATTTGTAGACCACTGCTGGGTGTGACTAAATATAGAATATAGATGTCTCGTAAGGAAAGAAAAATTATAATTTCGTGTAAATTTGTGTATGGACATATGCATAGATATATATATGCATGTTTTTATATTGACGAGAAATATATATATATTCAGCCTCCTGATGAGTCGGTGGAACAGTCCGACGAAACAGTTTGTCACAGCCCCCCCTCGTTTGTTGTCCTCTTCTCTTCTCCCTCCCTCTCTGCCTACGGTTTACCGGGCAGCTCCTCTGTTTGACGAGATAGCCCAAGGACGCTATCAGAACTGCATGATGCCACCCACTGTGATGAACGTCCTGCTGTTCTTTTGACATGTGGACAACATCGTGATGTCCTCTGTCAGGACTGTTTTGATGGGATGGTTCGTGCTAGCCGTCCTGCTGAATGCTGTGCTGG